CTGTGATGGAAAAGTTATTAACAGTTAAAATGGCGAAAGACCGTAAACATTATTTGGCATAGGTCAGGACATCGCTTCGGATGAACTGGTAGGGCACTACCATCGAAACAGCGTCAAAATTTCAGCCCTTTCTAATGGGAGGATGTGGCAGACGCTTGGTGACAAACCTCGACTGTGGAGAGGAGATCCTTGACTTTTATTAAAGTTTGAGAATCTAGGCTTATATTACAACGATGAAAGCTGAGTACGTAAATCTCCACTTCATTAAAGCAAGCGCAAACATACTAACAAACACGCTATTAACGGGACGCAAATAAATTTTGACCAAGCAACAGTGGCTCAGGAAAAAAGCAGTAAAAAAGGGTGTGTCCAGAAATCGCCTTAATTTGAAAGAAAAGAAAAAAGGACTGCAAATGCGGTGTAAAACTAGAAATCTTAAGAAGCAGTGCTATTCTGAACACTCATTACTTATTACAAAGTGAAGTACCATCGCGATGACTTAGAATTTACGCTTCTTTGCCAAAGTCAGTGACGATTTGCGCATGCAGTCGCAGTTTATGCAGTCTATTTTATGCATGCAAAGGATCGACAGGAGGTGGAGAAGAAACAAACATCGAACTATGCGGAGGGTGGAAGAGCTAAGTGTGTACTGCTGCGCTTACCGATTGCCGTCACTGTCGCATTCGCGTGGTCACGTCGCCTTCCGGAGGTTGGCAGAACCATGGACCATACCGTCACCTCCACCTTCTTCCTCACTGCTCAATCGGCATGCATTCTGTCCTCTCTCGTCTACAAATCCGGCCGCGTGAATTTTTTTTGTGTCACAAACAAATAACACAGCATTTAAGCTTCCATAAATGTGTTGTGTGTGTATGTGCAAGATTTTGCTTATTCCACCACCTACATTTAATCCCAGCCGAAAACACGAGGAGTCGCATCCGAGCATCCACACATGTCCGAGTACCTGCTGGTGTTCCGAAGCTGCAAAAGATTGCACATTCACGCACATCGACAACGGTATGACAGCGTGTAGATCCCCGCGACCTCATGGCACAAACCACAGCCCCTTGTTCTGCAGTCCCATGCAAGTGGGCATGTTTGTGTGCCCGAGGAGATGCCAATGCAGCGTGGAGATACTGCTGTGCGTATCGATGCAGGGCGAGGAGTGGTGGAGAGACACCCAAACACGTTTGCTCAAGCTGAATTGTTCATCACCACGCACAGCATCAATGCTTCCGTCCATCTCATACATCCACAATCGACCCCACTTGCTCACAATCGCGTGTGCCAATGGCTTCACAGCCTTCAACTGTGTGGAGGATGCAAACGCATTTCTTCCACTTCGTGAATAGTGTGCACTGCGTGAAGTGCATGGCATTGCGAATGAGCAGCCAGGCATAAAGGCGC